TATTATTACAGTAGAAATGTTTGTCCATTTTTCATGTTGCTTTTGCAGAAATGCCATCTTTAAGTTCCTTAGTTCAGTGCACCTGGAACTGAAAGCATTATTTCCTGTATGTGAGTATTCATTTGAGCCTGGCACTTCACAAAATGATCTCAGATGATCTTCATAATAACCTTGTAAGAGAGGTGGAGTATGTCTTACAAAGTTTGATGTGGACTCCATGGCTGATATTTCTGGAAGCTGGGTTGTGAGCATACACCATGGGTAATTTCTTTTAAAATGAAAAAACCTATAACTTTTCATTACAGTTGGTTAGTACTGAAAGCTGCTGGGAATATCTATTAACATCATTAGGAATTAACTGGAGGAAATTGTTAACAAATTTCTGTGCTAATTTAGAGCTATTGATAATTTTCAAGACAAAGCCAACCTTGTTCTCTGTAAATCTTGTAACTTCATATATCCATTGTAAAGCAAGAGACATGCATTTGTCTCTGAGAAAATACCTGGAGCTCTGGAATATATAAGCAAATTATCTGGAATAAATTGCACATTTCTCTTTACTGTGAAACTTTCTAGAAACTACAGGTGAATTGTAAGTAGGGCATGTAAGTTGTAGCCATTACAATAATTTATTGATCCAGCAGCTTTTTGCTGTTTGGCTAGAGGGAAGTCTTTAGGTGGCATGTGTGGACTTGGTCATGGATTGGTTTGATTGCTAGGGACAGACACCCACTCAGGCAATTAAAAATAATAACTGGGGTGAGGGATAACAGCTCAGAAAAAACATCTAGGAAATCTCACAGAATCAAGACAGGAAGTAAATCAAGTGTTCTGGGAACAGGATTTGGAAAAATGGACAATTCCTGATGCTTCTAGTCTATTCTTGTCCTGTATTCTGAATGTGCTGGTGTATTTCTGTGCTCTTTATTTCAGCCTGTCCTATCTCGCTTCATTCTTAGCACTGTAAAAGGTAGCATTATTTTCTCCTTTTAGAAGGTGAAGAAATTAAGGCTTAGAAAAGTTAGATGGTCCGCTCTGTCTCTGGTGAATCTCTCACTCCCCGCACCTCTAGCTTGCACCCCATTTCTTGTATGCATAGATAAATAAATCTTTTAAAAAATCAGTTTTCTTATTTTTCTGTCTTGCTCATCTTTAGTTAAATATTTTGTTATACTTAATCATAGATTGGGAAAAAAGTGAATATAGTGTTGATTTTGACAACAATGTCAAAAAAGCTTAATGAAAACAGTCACCCTTATCTTAAAGCTGATCTTATGGAGAATGCTTATTGAATTTTATGGTTAGGTATGAGGTTTCTGTGGAGTTTTGGAAGGCCCTTTATTGTGTTAAAGAAGCTCACTTCTATTCCCATTGCTATTATATCTAAAATCACAAATGGATATAGAATACACACATACACACACACACAGACACATTTCCTTATCCACATGTTGTAAAAACATAATTACCATCATTTGGTTGTGATGGCAATGTTGGCTTGAAGAGTTGATGATGTTGGCTATGAAGATCCCAAGATGGAGTTGAGATTGTGGTTTTTTTTTAAAAAAAGAAACCCACCCTTCCAGTTTCAGTAAAATAAGGTGAGAGTCAAGACTAGTTCATGACAGTCATGAGTCCTGGAAAATTTTACTATAAATTTTACTATAAATTATCATGAGCCTAAGGCCTGGAGGAGAGTTTTAGCTCTGGCTCCCTCCTTGGGGATCCTTGGCTGCCTTCTTGGAGAGTGAAGAGGAAATGGATTCTCTTTTTGCGCTAAAGCTTCTTATGCACCACTAAAATATGACTCTTCAGGCTTGATTGGTGTAGTGATCACAGTTATTTTCTCAAGATCTTGAAAGCCCTGGCTGCAGAAGTTGGTTTTTTTTCTTACAACCTAATGGACCTCAAGGGTGGAAACTGTATTCTGTGACATCACATTCAACACAGGAACTTGCAGATGAGGCTGCAAGTGTAAGATCCTGGGTCAGAAGTGTATTCAATTACTGTTTGTTATGTAGAGGGCACAGGTCAGTTTCATTGCCCAAAAGGAAAAATTGCTTTTGCCCTTATGACTTTGTCTTTTTAAATATTAAAAACCATAGCTGAGTGTCACAAGGACTGCACAAAAGACACTGAGAAGATGCTTGTACTTCTCAAGAGCCATTATCCTTAAAATATCTGAGCTAGGAAAAATATGACATAAAAATACTCAAAGCAACAATGCTAAAAAACTCATTCCAGATTTTAACAACCTTATTAAAGAAGCCCTTACTTTAATTTATTAGAAATCTCTCCTGTTATAGATCATTTCATGTTCCTTTTTCCTAAGGGAGATGAATAAAAATTGGACCCCATTCTCCATGTGATATTTCATAATAGACCTAGAGGCATTTTTTAGTTTTCTATTCAAGTTTCTATTTTTTCCAATAAATAGGCCAAATGTTTCTGCCTTCTTATTGGTCCTGTTTCCTCCTTCCCTTCCCTTTTGTGAAGCTTTATAGGTGTATGCAGTGAACACGTAAAGATTCCAGGTTAAAAATTATCAAGCAGAAAACTTCATTACCTAAACAGTCTCTACTTTTCATCCCAAGTCCTTTTCCCGAAATTAAGAAATATCTATATTTATATCAGACTACTTTTGGGTCATCACCTCCATGTGGATGACCTATAGTCAACTCAGCCTTGAGATGTCCACAGAGAAATTATATTCCCCCACCTCAGGATCTGTTACTCAGTGAATCACCTCACCATTCAACCATTCACTAGGTACTTGTACTCAAAATGGAGTCATTTTTTTTTAAGATTTATTTTTTATTTATGCATCCAAGAACTGATGTATAGGCCAGAGGTGGGGGGAGGGGTGAGAGGATTCACCAGAGACAGAGTGGGGAGCAGAACAAGCAGATTGACTGAAATACACTGCTGAGGGGAGCAGTGGGTGAGACAGGAGAGGTTTGCTGTGCCACGTGGGTAGCTCCTTGGGCAGGGATCGAACTTGTGCTGCAGTGGCTGTGGATAGCTTCATTGTGCTGAGGCTTAACCCCATGCGCTACCAGGGAGGCCAAAGGAGTTATTTTTTATTTCTCTAACCTAACAGTCTTGGATCAAATTACCATCAAGTCAGCCATTTTAAGTGTCTTTCAACTCAGTCCATCTCCCATCATTCTACCACCCCTACTCACCATCCCAGTCCACAGATAGTTCATCTTTCATCTGAATCTTTTGCTTCACACCCATTCTTTCCATGAAATCCAAAGCTGACTCGTAATATGCTCAGTCATATTACTCCCACCCATTCTTAAGGCCCCCTAGAGACCTCTCCTCCCCAGTGCTAAATTTGCCATTCTTTACCTCGACACTAGGTGCCCCTTCATCCATCTCCAGCCCACTTTTCCTGCCCCTTCTCTGCCCTTGAGCACCTTCTTCAGCTTGTTCAGTTCCTCAAATTCACCAGCTTTCTGATGCTTGTGGGCTTTGGATATTATTCCCTCTTCTTGGGACACCTATCCTTTGGGTATCAGCTTAAACATTTCACTTTCCTTGGAATTTTTTTTTTTTCTGACCGTAAGCTATTGTAGATGTGGCCTCCACAGCATATTGTTATATTACTGTGCCTAATTTATAAATTAAATTATCATATTGGTGCTGTTCTAGGTTTCAGGTATCCTGTGGGGATCTTGAGGCATATCTCTTATAGATAATAGGGGAATGCTCTATAGTATACTGTCAAAGCCAAAGATCATAATTGGCTTATTTTTCTATTGAAAAATATTGAAACGATTTACAATTTTTTCTTTTCATGATTGATGTTGTAAGGTACATTTTTGTGTCTCCTGTACATGTGTAGTAAGTGTCTCTAATTGTAATACAGTATTTAAAAAACCACTGTTGCTCAAAAAAAAAAAAATCATGGTACACCTGTAATATGCCAGTATGAAGCCATAAACAAAAGACAAAATCTCTGCTGTCTGATTTTCTATACTAAATCTAGATTACTAAAGTAATCTAATAGGATGATTTCAGAGAATGGTAGGTACTGGATAATGAATCATATCATCCTGGTACTTTCAGATCTTCAATGATCTCCCATTGCATTTGGGATTAAGTAGAACTTCTTTCCAAACCTATGGGGTCAGACCTGCCCCTGCCCCTTCTCTCGTGTCCCTTTGACTCCTGGTGCTCGTGCCACATTGACCTTTGGGTTTTTGGAATTTATACTTTATCCTGTTTCAAGACTTTCACATGCACTATTTTAATTTTCTGGAAAATTCTTCCCTCTATGTTTGGCAAATTCTTACTCATGATTCAAGTTTCAGCTTAATTGCCTTGTTTTCAGAGACTTTCCTTGTTCTCCTCAAAACTTGGTCCTATCTATAATGTCTTGCTTGCAGCACCTTTTCTTTTCCTTAGTATTACCATAATCTGTAATCACACATACATGCAGATCTCATCTGCCTCACCTGCTGAATTGCACATTCTGTGAGGGCTGGGATGATGCATCTTTGCTTCCTGCTGTTTCTTCTCACCCACAGCTGGAGACATAGTGGTTCCTCAGTGAATTTTTAAAGAATGAATACAAATTAATGTTTTTCTGAAACAATACAGGCTTATTTTGAGCAGGAGATTCGGTTTTGTTTAGGTTTTGATTTCCCTCTCCCCTCCGGGACTTTCACCTCCCTGACAAAGGGTTTTAGAGTGATCGTCATTGAGTTTTAGAGTGACTGGCCAGTTGCAGTGTTTGGTTTCCTTAAAAAAACTTGATGTGTTGTAGTAGTCATACAAGATGTTTATAGTCTCTCCATTAACTTGGTTAACAAGTATGGTGGTGATTTATTGTCACTTATGTCCCTTTGGAGAATTCAACATGGAATCAAATCTCCTGTTATCATTAAAAATCAGTGGGGTAAATTCCCCAGTGAGAGAGGATCCTACGTAGAAATACACACTTCTTGCTCCTTCTCCCTGACAACACACTGCCCTTTATGTCTTATTTTTAGGATCGAAGATTCAATGATGAAATCGACAAGCTGACTGGATACAAGACAAAATCGCTGTTGTGTATGCCTATTCGGAGCAGTGATGGGGAGATTATCGGTGTGGCACAAGCGATAAATAAAATTCCTGAAGGTGCACCATTTACTGAAGATGATGAAAAAGTAAGATTTCTTACCTTTTGTGACGTGCACTTTCCTCCTTGGTCCCTGATTGCTATTCTCCCTGACAAGGACCGGAATTATGTGAATAGCTGTTGGATTAGCCCAATCATGGATCAAAGAGCTTTTTTTTGATATACAGAATGTAATAGGAGTTTTTTTTGATAGTTCATAGAATGTGGTATAATTGAAAATAATTACTTCATCTTTTTTTCTGCTGCTTTCATTGCAAGCCTCAGTAGTGTTATTCTTACTCTCTGGTCTTTATTTCCTTATAAGTAAGCTTTTTAATTGAAGCTCATATTACCACACATTGCCCAGGGGAAGATAGGAGAGACTAGAAGATTATAGCACTTCAGAACTCAGCACTTTCTCTTGCATTTTCATAATTGCTACATAGAATTGTTTTCTCAGTTCTTATAAAAATCTCAATAAAATGAATGTTATTTAATTGTTAATTTCAAATTACTAATAAAAAGAACATTAATTTTGTCCCTGAAGAGCAGTTGACCTTGGTAGAAGTGATATACTTTTGCTCTGAAATTTTAAGTTCTTTCACCACTAGTTTATTCACCAGCTAGACTCTTTAAAGAGCTGGAGTTCTAGCTTTGATGTTCTTACCTTTATATTGAATAGAATTTGGTGGAATATTTATAAAACTTGTGGTTAATGCAAATCTCAAGTTAGTTTGCTCAAGTTTGATAACTGCTCTAATCCTATTTGATTAAAAAAACTTTCTAATTTAACCTTCTGAATGTAAGGTTGCTATTTTCCAGTTCTAATTATTAATGCATTAAATTAATGCAAATGTTCTGACACAAAAGGTCAGCATAAAATATGATTATAAGGGAACAAGATTGTTAAACAGTCTTTTATTGAGGTTATTTCTATTGCAGAATTTGAACAGCTCAAATCCCAGAGAAGGTTTATAAGCTCTTAGGGCATGATGGTACTTTAGGCAATTTCTTACCAATTCAGTAAACAACTGCAGTGTGCGAGGCACTTGTGTGGGGGCCATAGGAAGCTCAGAGATAAATCCCAAGTGTGTTATGCCATCCTGGAGCTGCACAAGGCAGCAGGGAAGATCAGCTGCAAGCTGTTCTAGAACACGCAATGAGTGCCTGGGAAAGGCAGGGTTAGCCTCACCTGGAGAATCTGAAGAGGATCCTCAGAAAGGTGGCACTTGATCAAACCGCTGAAAAAAGCATAGGCCCCCTTAAGACTGAGCCGGGAAAGAAAGTGAGGACATTTATAAACATTTATAAATATATGTGTTCATTCACTATGAAAATGTTTCTACGGAATATACAGATAAAGCAGAAATTTCACTTTTATATTTTGTACCATAGAGGACACAGTCCTGGAATAACGTGCTTCATAGAAGGATTTAGACAGAAGGATTTGAGTTTTGTTTCTTTGCAAACGTAACAACTACATGCCTACATCCCCTGGATTAGTTATACACAGTGGTGGTCTTGCCTTCATTCTGCTTCCTTCATTTAAAGGAATCCCTTTGTATATGTAATTCTCATCTTTGATTCCAGTTTTTAGATTTGTTTTCTAGATTTTTTTGTAGTGGAGTTGAGTTAGGGCTTCATGAGCTCTGAAGGACCTAGCTGAAAGGCTGCCCTGGAGTTCATCCTTGGTTTGAGCAGCATCAAAGTTAACGCCAATGAAAATGAGTGTCTGGAGCCGAGTTCCAGCTCAGCAAAGAATAAGCAGTTTGCTTTGTCTAAGCCCTTGAATCTTTGACTCTTTCCTTATCTGTCAACTCTACTATTCACCATTCTATAACATGAGTGTTAAATAAGATCATGAAAATATACTTGGCAAGTATAAAGCATACATTTTTATTTTTTAAATAATTATTTTATTTTTTAAATTTCACTTTATTTTGGGGGGAGATTGTAGTGGTTTACGACACTATATATGACTCAGAGGTATAGGATCATCTCTTCAGATGTATGTTACCACACCACACCAACCACCAAGGCACCCTTAGCCCTCCCTCATAGTCCAGTCTCAAAGAATGTTTATTTTTTTTTGACTTTTTTTTTTAAAGATTTATTTATTTATGCATACAAGAGCTTGGGCACAGGCCAGAGATGGTGGGGGTGGGGGGGGGCGGGATTCACCAGAGACAGATTGGGGAACAGAGCAGGCAGACTGACTGAAATACACTGCTGAGGGGCAAAGCAGGCATGACAGGAGGGGTCTGCTGCTCCATGTGGGTTGCTCCCTGGCTGGCCTGGGATTGAACTCGTGCTGCAGAGGCTGCGGATGGCTTCATAGTGCAATGCTTAACTCCTTGTGCCATCAGGGAGGCCCCCTAAAGAATTTTTAAATGTTCTTTTATATTTGTTACTTGTTCCTTGCAACTTATTTCTTAGATTCAGCCTCATTTGAGTATTTCTTTGTTCCAAATGTTACATTTTTCTCCCATGGCCCTTGTATCATTTTTTATCTTTCAGCCTCTACAATTCTCTCACCTGATTTATAAACCCTGCTGTAGTCTTACTTCTTGGGAAGAAACTTTACCTGTTAGGACAGGTAGAGTGTGTTTATGCAGGTGATACTGGATGAAGAATATTTTACTGTAACTTCTTTTTTTTAAATAATCTTTTATTTATACATATAAGAACTGGGGTACAGGCCAGAGGTGTGGGGGGTGAGAGGATTCACCGGAGACAGAGTGGGGAACAGAACAGGCAGATCGACTGAAATACACTGCTGAGGGGAGCAGCGGGCGAGTGAGGGGAGGTCTGCTGAGCCATGAGGGTATCTCCCTGGCCCAGGATCGAACTCCTGCGCAGTGTCTGTGGATAGCTTCATAGCTTTTGTCTTAACCCCTTGCGCCACCAGGGAGGCCCCTATGGTAACTTCTATATTTGGTTACTGTTCTTTCCTCTAAGGGTTCTATATGTTATAAACAGAACAAGAGTGTTGAAGAAGAAAAGCAGAAAGCAAAATTTAGAAATAGTTAATGGGAAAGAACAAGATTTAGATACTTCTTCCATAAGCCTTATAGTGAGTCTACCTGAGTTGAAATTCCTCCTCTGCCATGGCCTGTGGTAATCTCAGGCCAATGTTTTTAAGCTTCTCTGTGCTCTGATTCTTAGAAGAGACATGGTACTAATACTCATTTCACAAGGCTATGGGAGAAATTTCATTAGTCAAATGGGGGATATATTTCCTTATACATTCAAAATTCTCTTGGTTATTACGCACATACTGTTTTATGAGATTATGCTTATGTAGATTTGTATTTTACTTTTTAACGTAGTTATTTCTTACATAGCTGTCAACTGTTGTCATTTTTAGGGATTACAAGGTTTTCTTCTTTTTCTTTTTCTACATAGCCTGGTTTGCTTAATCATTGATCTGTTACTAGAAATTCAGGTGGTTTCCTCTTTTTTACTATTAAGAATAGCCCCTGCATGAACATCATGGATAAATTACTTTTTATTTTTGTGCTCTTTCTTTGGGGTATATTCCAAAGACTAAAATTACTGAATCAAAGGACAAGGGAAATTTTATAACTCTTATTCCGAGTCATCAGATAGCTCTCGGAATTATTGAGCCCATGCATACGCCTTTTTCTTTTCTCAGAACCCTGCCAACTTTGGTCATTTCACATTTTAAAACTCAAAATAATTTTCCTTAATCTTCCAGATAAACTTCAGAAACCTCCCACTATCACCAGTATAAATTCCCAGTGTTGCCTGCAAGTAAGGAAATGAGGAAGGGAAATGGAAATCCAGTGTTCAGAATTAGGTTAGGGCCTCTGAATCAGATCCTTCAAATCAAATTCAAGTCGTGGCTTGCTGAGCAACCTTGAGCAGGTTGCTCAATCCTTTTTAGTCTAAAAGCCTCCATAATAGGGTTGTTTAAGGAATAAATAAAGTGCTTATGATAGCATTTATTATCAGTAGATAAGCCTTGTGAAATCTCATCATCTAATGCCAACTAAAGTATTTTCAACCCTTTGTTATTTTATAAGTATAATTATTATGTCATTGTTCATATAGGTGATAAGTTTATTATAGTTTTAGCAAAATATACCTTTTTTGACATCTTATAATATCAACTTCTAGAGGTTATTAACTGTGTTATATGTAGTATAATTCTAAAATATTTTGCAATATGAAAATCTGTAAATTTCTTGATCACGATAAATTAAAAATTGAATGTCGTATATTCATTTCTGGACTATTTATTTACAAAATATAATATGTATGGGATCATATTTTTCTTGAAAATTCTGTTATGTTTCAGTGGCTGCATTATATCATGTAATAGTTGATGGAAGTGTCTGGAAGGATCATCAAGTCCATTTCCCTCTAACCCTACCCTTATCAAATGCAGGGATCTTTACCTGCAGGTGGTTGTCCAGTCTCTGCCTGAAAACATCCCTTTTAATGACTAAAAATCATCATGCTCTTTAAAGTTCTTACATAATTTGCAATAATTTTTATCAACTGTGGTTAGAGTTTTGTGTGAAATATATGGTCTACCATATGCCCATATTATTAATTTAAGTTACATTCTGACAAGTTACTCATTTGATAATTCACATTGGAAGTGCATACAAATGCAGACAATACAGCAGGGATGATTGGAATCCTGGTTCATTTCTTGAGTTTCCAGCAAATGTTCCTGTTTTTCAGTGATGTATGTAAGCTAGCTGATTTAGGTGGTGTGATGAGACTCCTTGCATCCAATTAATTCACCACTTCATTTTTCCTGGGTGAGTAAAAGGAGGTGTTATTTTGCAGAATAAAAAAATTGAGAAGTAGATGGGCACAAACATTTGCTATCTATCAAGATTTATTCGCACACCAGAATGAAATTTGGGATACAGAAATGCGCACAGGCTCTTACCTGTTTTTCCCACGTTGCCTGTACTTCATCCTCCAAGGTGCCATTTCTTGTGTGTTGCATAAGAATTACTTTCTAGTGTCTCACCTGTAAGCTGTTGTGGCTTGAAGCTTTTCTTTGGCTAA